GGGGGGGGGGGGGGGGGGTGCTCAGGCTTAAGGTTCGGAGTTGCTTTTTTGCATCCTCTTCGGTGCTTCGATTTTCGGGCAGAGAGGGGGTTTCGCCATAATTTCGGATTCTGGGCTCTTTAGTGCTGTTCTTGCCACCTGCATTGCTTGGCCTGACCTGCCCAGCAAGGAACATCTACTTCACAGTATGGCGACGGCACTGGAAGAATCGGGTTCCATTAAGGATTCTTGTTCTTGAGGGACGGCCTGGGCACAAAGGATTCTTGGGCTAGGCATTGATTCTGCAGGTTGGGTTTCCGAAACGTAACCCAAGCGGGATGAACGGAGCGACTCCAGAAGCCATACTTGCCTTTGCATCCCTGGCTGAGGTAGTGCCTCCTAAGCCCTCCAGGCCTGAAGAGCCCTACCTGAGAACGTATACACTCTTGTGAGACCCTAGAATCTGGAACCCAAGAACTCTTCGGCACAGGCGGCTCGATCACGATCGCCGAGATGATGGCCAAGAGCGAGGAAGGCACCACTTTGAAGATTTTCAACGGGATCCTCGTCACGGTGATCACAGAGGCTTCGCAAAAAAGCATAGGAAGCGGCCACACACACGAGTGGCGGGCTCATCAAAAGACGAGCAAAGGCCGAGGGGCTTGGGCAAGAATTCCATGACGATCATGCTCGAGAAGCAGATAACCTTGGCTGCGAAACACAGTGCTTTAGAAACGCCACACGAGGCCGACGGTGTCCGGCGTCATGAGTCGGCTCTGCGGGCAAGTGAGAGAGATTTAGCAGGATCCGTTAGTTGGTTTGCGAACAGCAATGTAGGATCCAATGTAGGAGGGTGCGTGCTACCTGCCTAGCACGCTTGAAGCGTCCTCCAACCAGGTTGGGAAGGCCGAAATCATCCGTCCGCCCTCGCAGGCTCTTGGCAAGGCACCAGCATCCAGATCATCTCCGCCCCTTCCTTCCAGTGGTGTGTTACCTGGGAAGCTTGAGGAGTGCCGCTTGCGGCCTCAGGTTCGCAATTTAGGGGTCGAGTGGCTGCGGGTGCAAGGACGGCTGTTGAGTTTTGCTTCGGAGAGTTCGTTTTGGACTGTACCAGGCAGAAGCTCCGTGTCTATACTGTGATGCACAAGACGTCGATGTCGGTGTTCATTCAGCAGCCACTTGGTCGGCCCTACGTTTGGTAGATTGTGATAGCGGCTCGCCTGCTCCAGCTTTGCCTCATCTGAACTTTGTGTAAATAGCTTCTGGACACCATCTTTTCCGTGCCATCGGGAGAATGCTGATCTGACGGAGACCCTGATTCAGCGGAGGCAAACTAGGCAAACCCCAGTGACAAAAACGTCCAACAACCCGGCCGGTGGCTGCTGGCACAGGCCTATGCAGCTTAAGTGCGCAGCCAGGCCAAGCTATAACAGTTGACAACCTAAGCCATCACAGGCGCACCTCCCAGGAACCACGTAACCTGAGTTCAAACCCAATAGAAAACTTCAATGTCGCCTCCTACGTCTGAAAAACCGGCCTAAGCTGCTGATGGCGAGCAGTCTCCGACTAGCTGAGACTCCTGCATCCCTGCGTTAAGTCTGCAGGTTGCAGGTTTGCTGCGCCGGCTGAGGGCACCATAAGCAAGACAAAGACAGAAAGCACGCCTCACGAATCAAGTGTTCCCCCCCCTGGATCCTCCATAGATCTCTCTTTCGTCCAAGGAACAGGGTCCTCGAAGGGATGCAGCTGGGACAACCCGATGACGATAGCCAGACCGTTGCAGAAGCCCAGCATGACCTCAAAGCTTCTCAGGCTTTACTCGGGAAACATCTTCGCAAGTGCCTCTGCATTGAACCTGCCGTATGGGAGGAACAGGAGCGAGGGCAATGGTGATCGTACACAAGCTAATGATAAATATACAAGTAGTAGCAGTAGCAGTAGC